GGCCTCATACTCGGCCTCGTTGTTAGTCAACCTGGTAGTTTTAATAGATTGCCTAATAGTGTTACCCGTGGGTGGCTTTAAAACTATGCCTAGCCCGGACCCTTTCACGTTAGAAGCCCCGTTCGTAAAAAGGGTCCATACCCTCGATGACGTACCCGATTTCAACAGGAGTTCTTTTTCGACTTCGGGTATGAGGGTTGGCGTGAAATCGGCCATGAAGTCTGCTAAAATTTGAGACTTGATGGACGTACGGGGTTGATATTCGATATCGTACCCACTGAGTTTGACAGCCCATTTGGCCAATCGGCCTGATAGTTCGGGCTTGTGAAAAATATTACGAAGTGGGTGAGTCGTTAATACGCATATGGGGTGACATTGAAAGTATGATCGTAACTTTCTAGAGGCGCTTATCAGTGCAAGTGCCAACTTTTTTAGGTGCGGATATCTAGTTTCTGCTTCTCCTAAGGTTCGACTTATATAATAAATGAGAAATTGCGTACCTTGCTCTTCCCGAACTAGGACACCGCTTACTGCGATTTTCGATACTGCCAAGTACAAGCAAAGTTTTTCGTCTGTTTTTGGAGTGTGAAGTAGTGGTAGGATCGACAGATATTGTTTTAGTTCCTTTAATACTTGTTGGCATTCTGAGGTTCAAGCGAAATCGTTCTTCTTTTTCAGTAGAGAGAAAAAGACTTCGATCTGATGATCTCGAAATGAATCGGCCTAAGGCTGCAATCCGTCCCGTTAGCCTTTGTACAGCTTTCACGCTGTCCACGATGGTGATGTCTTTGATGGCCTTGATTTTATCGGGGTTAATCTCGATTCCCCAATTTGACACCATGAAGCCGAGGAACTTGCCCGAACCAACCCCGAAAGCACATTTTTCGGGGTTGAGCTTCATGTTGTATTTCCTCAAAATCTTGAACGTTTCCTGCAAATGGGTCAGATGGTCCTCTGCGCACATGGACTTAACTAGCATGTCATCAATATAAACTTCCATTGATTTACTTATTTATTCTTCGAACATTTTATTTACTAGGCGTTGGTAAGTAGCCCCTACATTGTTTAGCCCGAAGGGCATCACATTATAACAATATGTTCCATATCTGGTGACAAATGAAGTCTTTTTCTGGTCCTCCGAGTTCATCTGGATTTGATTATACCTGGAATAGGCATCGAGAAATGTGAGAATCTCGTGACCGGCCGTGGCATCGATCATGCAATTGATGTTGGGCAGCAGAAAAGAATCTTTGGGGCATGCTTTGTTCAAATCCTTATAGTCCACACACATTCTAAGTTTGTTCCCTTTTTTAGGCACTACAACTATATTGGCTAACCATTCGGGATATTTCACCTCCCGAATGGACCCTATCTTGAGAAGTTTGGTTACCTCGTCTTTTATGAATGTGTGTTTTACCTCGGACTGTGGTCTTCTCTTTTGCTTCACCGGTTTGAACTTAGGGTCCAAGCTTAGCCGATGCGTCGTTATGTCCGGAGGGATCCCTGTTATATCTAGATGGGACCAGTCAAAGCAATAAATATTATCGATAAGAAATTGAATAAGTTTCTTCCTGAGTTCGGGGCTCAACCCCGTTCCCAGGTATACCTTTCGTTCGGGCCAGTGCTCGATTAGTGTGACTTGCTCCAGTTCCTCAATTTTCGATTTGGTGGCGTCAGAGTCATCGGGAATCATGAAGGATCGAGGGATCCTCTGATCATCATCTTCTTCGATCTTCTGGTTATTTGGTTGGGTCGAAGCCGATGTCTGTGATTGCTATTTGGTATCTCGTTCCCCTTCTGAGCCCGATCCATTTACTGGCGAAGGCGAGGATATTGGTTTCGCTTCCTCGACGGCGAACATTTCTCTTGCGGCTGGTTGTTCTCCGTACACTGTTTTGACTCCTCTCGATGTGGGGAATTTGAGGACCCAGTGTAGGGTCGAAGGTACAGCTCTCATGTTGTGGATCCAGGACCTTCCGAAAAGGGCATTGTATCTCATGTCGCCTTCGATCACGTGGAACTTAGTTTCTTGGATGGTTCCGGCCACGTTTATTGGTAGAATTATCTCACCTTTGGTAGTTTCATATTCCATATTGAATCCGTTTAGAACCAGGGTTGTGGGTACGATCTGGTCCTGCAGGCCGAGCTGTTCTACGACCTTCAATCTGATAATGCTGGCCGAGCTACCTGGATCAATCAACACATGCTTAACTTTAGTTTTATTCATGAGTACGGATATTATCAGTGCATCATTATGAGGTTGTATGACTCCTTCTGCATCTTCATCATTGAAGGACAAAGTTCCTATGGGTGTGTAATCTTGAGTTCGAGATCGCTTTTCTCTCACAATCGATGTTTTAGTGCGTTTAAGCATTGGTCCCTGAGGGGTATCGGCGCCGCCGATGATCATGTGAATGGCGTGCTGTGGTTCTTCTTGTTCGTTTTGCTTACCGAAATCCCTATTTTTAAAATGGTTCTTCGCCCTATCACTCAAAAATTCTCGAAGGTTCCCTTTGTTAAATAACCGGGCTACTTCCTCTCTTAGTTGCCTGCAATCTTCCGATCTGTGGCCATGGGTGCCATGATATTCGCACATTTGATTGGGATTCCTCTGGACAGGATCGGTCTGCATAGGTCGAGGCCATTTAGTGTCTTTGATGCGTTCGATAGCCGACACGAAGTTATATTCCGATAACCGAGGTGCTTCCTTAGATTCGGCAGGCCTATCGAACCTGCTTCTGTTCGTCAGCCCCCGGGACCCTTGACCTCGATCACTTCTTTTGTTATTTTGCCTGAGGTTATGTCTCGATTCACTGACTCTGTGGATTCCATTGTACGGTTAGTATCGATCCCCGATCGGACCTCGTTCTCGATTAGTATCCCTTCGAACATCGGGTTCAGACCCCAATTGATCATCTTCGACCCTAATTTTTGATTGGTACCAATTGTGCACGTCGGCCCATGTGATGGCTGGGCATTCGATCAGGTTATGCTTTAATCGTCGTGAAGCCGTCGAACTTCGCTCGTTCAAACCTTGAGTGAAAGCCTGAATAGCCCAATCGTCTGTGACTGGTGGCAAGTCCATTCGTTCCATTTGAAAACGAGATACGAACTCCCTCAGCATCTCTTTATCCTTTTGTCTTACCTTGAAGAGGTCTGATTTCCTTGTTGCGACTTTTATATGCTTTCACAAAAGAATCTGCTAACATGGCGAACGAGTCCGAATTTTTTTAACAACACAGTTTTATTTCATCGTCTTCTAAATCATTGTCCTTGATGACACATGTGTAAGAAGTGACGTGCTCGTTGGGATCGGTCGTTCTATTATATTTGGGAATTTCGGGCATACGGAAGTTTTTGGGGATTGGTTTCGGGGCTGCGCTCGAGGAAAAAGGTTTTATGCATGATTTTTTTTGAATCCAACCCTTTTATCATTGGTGGAGCTCCCGGGATCTTATCGACCCTAGAGTTATAAGTTTCTACTTTTTTATTGTTGGCTTCGACTCGCTTTGTGAGTTCCTCGAGCAATTTAGCAATTTCGGGAGTAGTCCCCGATTCTTGTTCATTTGACTTTACTATGGCTGGTTCCGTTCTGTGGGTGATTTTTCGGGGTGGATTGGGCTCCGGCCTGCTTTGTAGCTGGGTTTGGCTCTGCAACTGAGCTATTGCTGCCTGTTGGGCTTGCAACATTTCGAAAATCATATGCAAGCTAATGCCGTTTTCCTCGACGTTATGGGTATCTCGAGCCGCAGACCGAGTGCCACCATGGATGTTATTCTCGGGTTCAGCATGTAAGTTCGCCTCGATGGCTACATGCGAATTGATATCAACTGGCGCTCCGATTCCAGCTCCAACGGCGTTTACAAGTGGTCTTTCAGTACTGGGTGTCAAGTTGTTGTTTTCGTCTTGAAGACCGGCCCCGTTATCGATTGGTGAAGCCATTTGATTGATGGTTAGTCGTAGCTAATCCGAAATTTAAGATATTTTCGGAAACAAACGCAAAACACAATGGCGTGTTTTTTCAGATTCGTATCAAATAACCACTGTTATCCTTAGCCCCACGGTGGGCGCCAAACTGTTTATCCGAAAAACTCTATAGTTGAATTTATTCGTAGTTCTAAGGATATGTAATATAGCTCAATACAAATTGTAACGATAAAAGGAAATATCAAATATGGACCGCAGAGAAGACAAAATAAACACAGTTGTAACGAAAGCGATTTTTTGGGACTAAGCAAGATGAATCAGTTTATGAGGCTTAAAAGAATAATTCTCGAATATAAGAGAATATGGTGCTTGAATTACAATGTGAGCTCCAAAAAACTGTCTTTCTAGAAATGATAAAACTTCCTTTTTATAGTAGAGGGATCTTACTTTAAATATAATTAAAAAATACTCAGTGAGAGATCTATGATAAATCAGTTTTTCCACAACTCCTACCAAGATTCTCTCATCTTAGTGGGATTGCAACGGCTTTTGTCTGTGAGTCCGATCTGACTCTGGCTCTTGATCTCGGCTTGAGCCCGATTCTAACTCGAGTTCTTTATCTTTGGTTTAAGCTCGATTCTGACTCGCACCCTTGAATTGATTCGGGGTCAATGTTGGTTGGTCTCTGGATCATGAGCTTGATAGCTTTACTCTGCATCATAGTTTGATTTGGATTCGAGCTCGATAACAATATCGAACTCGACATTGATCGGCCTCTCGGGTTCGAAACTTGTTTGTTCCATCTTCGAAATCCATCTCGAAGTTTGACTTCGATCGATTATCATTCGAACTCGATCAGACATGCGAAAGCCGAAATCTATTTCGACCGTATTATTGACTATTTCTTCAATCCTCCTGTTAAACATTGGAAGTACCGTACTTCAGGTGTTGGGTACTTTAAGTGTTGATAGTACCTAAGAAACTTGTCCTTGAAGTTATCTAATTTTAATGTCAAAAACATAGTCCAAACTCCAAAGATTTCATTGTTTCTTAGGATACCATAACGAGAAAACTTTGGAACTTATTACACTATCATTAAGTAGCAGCAGTTCTTGGCAGGTTACTTGAAACCTTCTCCTTAAGGGAGTCGATCGGTACGTTGTTTAGCAAACCAGACCAAAGGCACCTGCTGGATCTGCTAGTTTCCAGAAAAGCGGCTGACTGAAGAAACAGATGGAAATGGTACAACACTCAGCACATCATTTGGTTCTCTTATTAACTCCTCTGTTGAGTTTGTTGTTATTCTATTTCTTGTTGCTATATACTTAATAGTTAACGTTCATCTGTTAACTGTTCGAATTTTCTACAGAAAAATGAGGCAGGAAACGAGAAATGGCGCGGATCAGTAGGAGGCTTAGTAGAGGGTCCAATAGACCAAGTGTGGAAGTTAGTATCGCAAAGTAGTAAACTATCTGAATGGATGCCAATGGTGGAAAGATGCACTGATTTAGCTGGAGAAGAAGGAATTCCAGGCTACGTTCGGCTAGTTTCTGGTTTCATGTTCCCTGAAAAGGATGGAGACAGGTCCTGGATTAAGGAAAGACTAATTTCTATGCACATTTCATCACATAGTTATGTTTACAAAATGGAAGCAAGCAATGTTGGTTTTGATGGATCAACAAATTCACTAAAACTCTTTGATTATGAAGATAATACAACTCTTGTTAACTGGACATTTGAAATAAATCCACTGGAAGGTTCCTCTGAGGACACAATTATAGATTACTTGGGATTTCTTTATAAATCTTGTATTAATAGAATTAAGTTTGCTATTGATGCATTGCCTCCTCTCAAAAATGAGTGTACTGGAGAGTAAATTGCTTTAACATATTATTTTAGCTACTTTAACAGCAGCCAAAATCAATAATATGTCAATTTAGAGGTTGTTCAGTTTTTTATTCTGAGCCTAAAATAATCTAATCTTCCTCTTGGCTATAATTATTCTATGGTTTAAGTTTAGTATTATCCAGTTCCAGATGGTTCCCTATGCCTGGACAACTCCAATCTGAAAAGATTCAAATGCCTTTTGTTCCCTGAATTCATTTTACTTTTAAAATACCGAAAGAGAGAGAGTTGTTGTAGCTTATCTTCCAATTTTGTTGTTTTTCATTAAAGATAAAAAGGAGAACAAAAGTTGATTTTTAGGGGAGGTGGGTGGGGACCAAGGGATGAGCTGTTACTGTATTACACATCTAATTTTCCAGCAAATCCTCATTTAAACCGCAATTGTAGAAGGATTTTCCTAATATCAATGAAAACTATTTTTCAACTAATAGGCTGCTTCATCACTAACAAGTAACAACCTTCTAGATGAAATAGTATGTACAGACCATTGTGCACTATGGTCCTCGTCAGAGACTGAACTTGTACTTTGATATTATAAGTGTAGAATTTAATATTTGTTGAAAGTTTAGTAGTTTTTCATGTATATATTTATGTCGAAAATACTAGGTTCAGTTGAGGCTATTGTACTAATGTATCTGACTTCTCGAAGGAATAGAAGGGTCTGATCTTGTCTACTGTTTAAGAATGGAATACAAACTAGAGTTGTTTTCCTTAAATACGTTCTCCAAGTAACTATCCACATTCAAACATATCATCAACATTGCTTCTGTTTAAATGCAAAGTGACTGAAACAGTTGAACAATCAACCACGAATTTGACCCAAATATATATGTGCTGGAATACGTACTCTGAGAGTGAGATGGTATGATTTCAAAGAAGAATAACTGATCTCGTATATGTCAAAAGAGCCTGGATTCATAGATCAAAAGACTACTTTATGTAATATGCAAGAAAACTTTGAGGCAAAATGTGCATACCTGGACTTGTTCACTCACCTAACCAGGTAAAATGACGTAGCATCAATATACTCTATTCCTTTATATTGTCATCTTGGTCAATTCTTTGTAAAAGGAGTGACACTTAGACACAGATAAACAAACAGGAAAAAAGGCAAGACGAAAGCCAGTGTAGTACTGGCATGGCATCTTTGGTTCAAGCTGTTGTTCTGGTGGCTCTTGCAACTTCATTTTTTCCTGCATTTGTGGAGTCGATTGTTCGTCATTACAAGTTCACTGTAAGTTCACTGCATAGAATATGGTACATATATTTTTATTTTCCATAATCTGTTAAAATGAGTTACAACTAGGAAAATTCAAACTTAAGATTTGGGGATACAGAAAAGTTTTTCAGCATTGTGCTACTTTATGTAGGTGGTGAGGAAAAATGCAACAAGATTGTGTGCAACTAAGCCTATTATCACTGTAAATGGAAAATTTCCAGGGCCAACTCTCTATGCTAGAGAAGATGATACAGTGCTTGTAAGGGTTGTCAACCATGTCCAAGACAATGTTACCATCCATTGGTATGATAAATCAACTATTTTAGCCATCTTAAATGGGAAAAAACAACAACTGACTTTATCGCGGATCATATAAATATGACATAAACAAACAAGGTCATAATGTGATGCTAAACTCGTAATGGGGAAATTTCAGGCATGGAGTCAGACAACTTCGGACAGGATGGTCGGACGGACCAGCATATATTACTCAATGCCCAATACAGACAGGGCAAAGCTATCTCTACAACTTCACCCTCACTGGGCAAAGAGGTACCCTTCTTTGGCATGCACATATCAACTGGCAAAGGGCAACGGTACATGGTGCCATCGTCATCTTGCCCAAACGGCGCGTTCCTTATCCATTCCCCAAGCCAGAAAAGGAAGAAATTATAATATTAGGTAACATTAAATTCCTTTTACTCCAGTTTGCTATGGTCTCTGCTTGTAGCTAATATATGCAGAAAAGCAGATGATCCATGCTATATATTTAAACATCAGGGACAATTTAGTTGTTTTTTTCTAATGGAAGTCTTGAATTGCAGGAGAATGGTGGAGTTCAGATGTTGAGGCAGTAATCAACCAAGCAATGAAAATGGGAGTGGCTCCCAATGTATCAGATGCACACACCATCAATGGCCATCCTGGACCTGCACCAAATTGTTCTTCAAAGGGTACTTTACTAAGTCTTGTTTATGTACGATAATCAAATAAATTTAGAGATATTCCTCTTTTCAAATAATGTCATGCAGAAAAATCCATGAAAATTATACAGGATAACTTACTAACTATTCAGGCAGCTTTTCCATCGTATCAAGATCGAACTATGATGTTATAATGTACCAAAGATAAAGATTATATGCACTTGATGGCCTGATGAAGGATCAAAATGATATCTGCTGACCGGGATTATGCAGGTTACACCCTACATGTGGAGAGTGGCAAGACCTACTTGCTCCGTATCATTAATGCAGCATTGAACGAAGAGCTCTTTTTCAAGATTGCAGGGCACAATTTGACTGTTGTTGAGGTCGATGCATCTTACGTTAAACCCTTCAAGACGGACACCATTTTCATCGCTCCAGGACAGACAACAAACGCCATTCTCACTGCTGATCAGAGTGCTGGAAAGTACTTAATAGCCGTTTCTCCTTTTATGGACACCATAGTTGCCACTGATAATCTAACTGCAACCGGAACAGTCCACTATCTAGGAACTGATGCACTTTCCCCTACTGCTCTCACTACCATTCCCTCTCGAAATGCTACCCCAGTAACCAACATTTTTGTAGACTCCCTACGGAGCCTAAACTCGAAAAAATACCCTGCTAATGTTCCATTGACAATTGATCATTCGTTGCTTCTAACTATGGGTATTGGTGTTAATCCTTGCGCTACTTGCCAAAATGGAAGCAGAGTTGTGGCAGCTATCAATAATGTTACCTTTGTCATGCCTACTACTGCTATCCTCCAAGCACATTATTATAATATAAGTGGTGTCTACACCGCGGATTTCCCTGGAAATCCATCAATACCTTTCAACTATACTGGCACTCCACCAACAAATTTGCAGACACAAAATGGTACAAAAGTTTACAAAGTTGAATTTAATTCAACTGTCCAGGTAGTGCTCCAAGGAACTTCTATCATAGCACCAGAGAGCCATCCAACACATCTACACGGATTTAATTTCTTTGTAGTTGGGAAAGGAGTTGGAAATTATGATCCTAAAAATGATCCAAAGAAGTTCAACCTTGTGGATCCAGTTGAGAGGAATACTATGAGTGTACCAACTGCTGGATGGACTGCCATTAGATTCCGAGCAGATAATCCTGGTAAAATTTCTTTTTTACTTTCATTTTATAAAGGGCAACCCGATGCACAATGCACCCACACAGGGTACGGGAAGGGCCGCATGACAAGGGGTGTGGCTGCTTCCATTGCTCGAACCCATGACATATAGGTCACACGGCAACTTTACTGTTGCTCCAAGGGTCTGAACCCGTCATTCACAGAAATAATAAACTTTACTTTCATTTTTTATGGTTAGAGTGGATTTTCATTTGTTTGTAATCTGAATATTTGATGTGTAGGTGTTTGGTTTATGCACTGTCATTTGGAGGTTCATACAACATGGGGACTTAAGATGGGATTCCTGGTGGAAAATGGAAAAGGCCCTAATCAATCAATCCTACCTCCTCCAAGTGATCTTCCAAAATGCTAAAGAAAATTTCACCAAATTGACATACGAATTGGAAATGAAAGCTTCACAGAAGTCAGTTGTGAAGTTCAACTAGTTGAGTGAATAAAATGTTTAGGACCACAAGTTTGATCGTTTTGGAAGATGTACGAGGAGAAGTCTCTTGAGTCTTTTGGTGAAACACAACTTCAATCTTGATTATTTTTTGTAATTGACTGCCATGTATAGTGCAATGTATCTTGAAGATGCTCTTGGGAATTTCACATAAATCTAGCTGCCTTTGTACCAAAATAAGCCACTTACATCTGTCTAATTAAACAAAAAAAAAAAAAACGTAGTGATTCCTCTCTATTCTACTAGGGCTTAGTGAATACAATTTAGATGCCCTACGAGCGGAGCCTTCGAGCTGTAGATTAAGGTTGTGCAGCCTGCCCCAAACCCCTCAATGATTAAGAATGTTTCGTGCATCCAAATGCCCTTTAAATGCTCAGGTCCGACTGGCCCATAGATTTAAAAGGATCCCGTAATAGACTCCAAACTTTATATTTTTACCTAATAAACAGGCGATTATAGGGGCAATAGTTCTGCACAGAAAATAAAACGCCAAGTTAGGAAAAGCTGTAACAAAAAAGCTATCGTGCCAGGTAGGGGTCGAGCCTACGACCTTCTGCTTAGGAAACATACGCTCTAAGAATGTTGAAGTTCAGCTTATACAGAACAAAACTTCAACTCTAAGAATACTAAAGTTAAGCAAATACAGAACACAACTTCAACTCCAAAGAATGCTGAAGTTCATCAAAAACAAAATAAAAACTGCAGACAAAACATACTATACTTTTACAAACACAAAACAAAACTTAAGTTCCTAGAATGTTAAAGTTCATCACAACCAGAACAAAAACTGCAGACAAAACATGTTGTAGCTTTACAAAACACAGAACAAAAACTTCAGCTCAAAAGCCATTGCTGAAGTTCAGCAAAATACATAACAAAAACATCACATAAAACATCCTATAATTAAGCAAAAAATAGTATGAAAAACTTCAGATTAAACACAAAAAAAAAAAAAAAAAATTACACGACATATTCTGTTAACTAATTCATCATCAAACGTCGTTATAGAATATTTAGAACGACTCTAGGTACGAGGTGATTCTCCAATTACAAGAGTTTGATTGGTTTCTTTTGATCGACTCCGACTACGTGGTGATTCACTAGTTGAAGGAACCGAATTCAGTACCTTCGAACGAATGCGGCTTCATGGTAATTGTCCAATTAAAGGCATTAAATTCAATTCCTCTTCGGTAGGAATTATCTCCAATAACCTAAATGCCCGATATTTCAGTTTAATGCAATAAAGTATATTATCAAAAATAAAATAAAATTGATACGTCAACATATTAACAAAACTACAAAAAAAAAAGGAAAAATAAAGAACATTAACTTACACCATGATTACTGAAGTAATCCTTATGAAGTTCTTTAAATTTATGCTCTCCCAAAGATGTATAACGTAATATCGTGGGAACTTGAGGGACATCAAGGTAGTCGTCATCTTTTAAATATTTATCCCGAATTTCTGGGAAGCGCTTATAGAACCAAACAAATAGTGGATATGAAAATCTGCCTACAGTATACTCAGTTGAATTATTTTTGTCCTTGTTGTCCAAAGCATGTTTCATTGAGGTAATAAGCTTCTCATAAGACGCATTACCCCAAGGATAATTAAGACAAGTTTCATCGTCTTCAACAATAGCTGCATACTACTCCAACACAGTTGATTCATTCTTTCTTCCGAACAAAATAGACTCCACAATAAGAATTTTCATAAGCTTCACATCACCTTAATCACTCTCGCATACGTGTTTGAAATTCACATCATCCTTTTTAATTTGATTCCGTATCATTTACTCTCAAATGTCCTTTAAGGTCACACCCTTAGACTTTCCAAAATAGTGCTTCAAAATATTACTCTCTCGTTTAATTCGTTTTTCAACATTATGTGATGTGATCCTCAAACCGCACATAATGTGAAAGTCTTCAAGGCTGAAGGACACATCACAACCAAAAATCTTGAAACTAATGGAATCTCGATCATTGGTGAATACGCGAGAAAGAATCAAATAATGAACCAACTTCATGCTGCAATGAAAATTCTCCATAGCCATGATATATTGAAATGTACCATTATTCAGCTTCTCTTGTTGTGCAGGAGTCAAGAAAGTTGCAATTAAACCCTTCAAATCGTGGTTCCCCTTCTATTAAGCACGGTAGTTAAACCGATCTGAGCAATTACAGAACAAAAACTCCAGCCAAAATATGTTGTTATTTCACAAATATAGAACACAAATTAAACTCCAATAATGCTGAATTTCATCAAAAACAAAACAAAAACTACAGACAAAACATACTTTACAAAACTTCAGCTCCTAGAATTAAGTTATCCTTGAAATATTATAAACTTCACACTTTAATAACATTATCTATTTGAGTCTCAAAGTTTTAAAAAATTTCAACGTCTCCAAAAATCACTGAAGAATATATAGAATTTTTATCAAAAACACAAACACAATTTCGAAAAACCTAAAAACGCTAATCGTAAAAGTAAAACCTACAAAACTAATGCACTAATCAAAGTAAAACCCTAGGAAACTATTTTAGCACAAATAAAAAAAGGAAAACGATTCAACTAAGATTACTATCAACAAAAAATCTAATAATTAAATCATAACTAATCCTAAAATAAAACCCCATACAAAGTTAATGCAATGTACTAAAGGAACCATTAAAATTGTACCTGTGATTATACTTAATGTTGTTGGGGAAGAAACAGTTGCAAAAACAAGCAGAATGCAATGCCGAAAATCGTTTGATTTCAGAGAAGAACAAATCAAAACCGCGAAAAAGGAGAGAGAGACTGATTTCAGAGAAGAACAAATCAAAACCGCGAAAAAGGAGAGAGAGACTGATTTCAGAGAAGAACAAATCAAAACCGCGAAAAAGGAGAGAGAGACTGATTTCAGAGAAGAACAAATCAAAACCGCGAAAAAGGAGAGAGAGACATAGACAAGAGACAATATGCCGTATACTTGGAGAGAAAGTAGTGTTTTACTAAAGAAGGGCAAAATCATCTTTTTAAAATACTTTTAACACAAAAACGAGTATGGATGCAAACGAAAAACAAAGCGGATACAAGTTAACCCATGCAATTTTTACCATTACAGGGGCAATAGTTCTGCACAGAAAAGAAAAGGCTGAGTTAGGAAAAGCTGTAACCAAAACGCATCGCGCCAGGTAGGGGTCGAACCTACGACCTTCTGCTTAGGAAACAGACGCTCTATCCACTGAGCTACAGGCGCTTATCTGTTTACATTCTCACATCTGCAATTAATTTAATTCTAATAAGCGATTAACATAAGGAAAGAATTACTTGTATAAAAAAGGCAACTCTACTTTTAAGGCAGAGTAAGATTATGTGGCTATAAACTATATTCATGTTTATAATGCAAATAAAGTAAGTTTACTATGCAAACACGCTCTAAATTACCTTTCTTATTGCAAAGTGAAATTTATTATGAACCCAGAGCTCAATCCGTAAGACAAGTTGAAGAAAATGGAAGACGGTTTTTCATTTTCCGGTCGATAGCTCTTTTTGTTCAAGCGAGTGAAAGAAAAAGAAGTCACTGCCCCCGAGGAGAAAAAAAAAAGTACTCTCCTCCGTTATCGGACACAGAATTTAAGAAAAAATAAAGACTTTTGAAATTTATGGTCATAAAAAAATTAAAAAGAGATCCAAAGTATTTATATGGTTATAAATTTTTTTTATTAATATTAGAATCGTAAATTTAAGCTAAATTATTTTTAAATTTAGAAAGGGATCATTCTTTTTGAAACGTACCAAAAAAAGAAATAGATTGAGTTAAATGAGGGAGTAAGAAAAAGAGATGTTTATCTTTTAGTCCTTTGAGCTGTCACAAAAAAAGTGATTATGATTGGCAAACCAACACTTTTGGCAGCAGCCCATAACCTTAAAACCAATTCGTGAAACATAATAAATAGCGCAGATACCTTTAACATGTATTGCAAATCTAATCACTATTCAACAACTCGTATTCCTTGACGTATCTCATTATCTTTTTCTTATTTTAGTTCCACTCTCCTTCTTCTCTTGGTTCACACTAGTATACAAGCAAGACCACTAATACAGAACAGTTGCACTGCCAACCCCACTGTATATTACCCACTTTGATCAACTTCTTTTTGTTTTTTCAAACTCATTTGCCACTATTCTCTCCTTTGGCTTCCAAAAATAGCAAACAGCAGAACAACTTCAGCCTCTTTCTTGGTGCTCTTTTACTTTGGTTTCTTAGGATCAACCTTTTGTCTGGATGATCTTTGCTCCTTCACTTCATCTATTAAATTTCTGTTAAGGTTGTTCTCTGTTTTCTCATACCCTTTTCAGTTTTACGCTTTATTTCTTGAATATAACCCGACTTGGCTGTCCAAAACTTGAAATTCTTGTTTGAGTTGTGCTCAATTTGCAACTTTTTTTCTCTTTACTCATCGTTTATGATTGGGAATTGGGAGGGTTTAGGTGGTTATGCCTGAGTAGTAAAATCAGTTGCTTTTCCCTATTTATTTCAAAGATTCTTTAGCTCTCTTAAAAAGGGTACTCATTTAAGGCCTATCGTGTGTTATAAAAATCTCATCTTTTTTTCTATTCACACAACACATAAATTGTCTTTAACAAATGGAAATAAGTAGTCTATTCTAAGTCTTAATAAGCAAACTCAGGATACTGGGTATTGAAAAGAAAATGGAAACTTTGTGGGCTACGTCGCTTATACCAAATTCAAGCTGGATGATGATGGAACAGAGGAAAAGCAGTGAATGGACACAAGAAGAGAACAAGAAATTTGAAAGTGCACTTGCAATATACGATGAGAGAACTCCAAATAGATGGTTTAAGGTGGCGGATTTGATCCCTGGGAAGACAGTATATGATGTGATGAAACAGTACAAAGAATTAGCAGCAGATGTAAGTGACATAGAAGCTGGCTTGTTCCCAGTTCCTCCTTCGTCTTTTATGCTTGAGTTGGTCGATGATAATCGCGGTGTTCAAGCGTTTAGAAAGAGGGGCAGATCTTTTGATCAAGAGAGAAAAAAAGGTGTCCCATGGACTGAGGAAGAACACAGGTGCACAACCTTTTCTAATTTTACTATCTTCTGTTATGCAGTGTAACATGTGAATTAAGAGTCAATTCCAATTCTGATTGCATATCATCCATAGATTGGTAATGTAAATGACCTGATCTCAATAGATATAAGTTAAACTCTTAATAACTGAGAACTGGTTGATTTTGATGTTAACAAACAATGGTGTTATTGGGTTATAGGAGGTTTCTGATGGGACTTGACAAGCATGGGAAAGGGGATTGGAGGAACATATCAAGGAATTTTGTGATCTCAAAAACGCCAACGCAAGTGGCAAGTCATGCTCAAAAATACTATCTGAGACAGCTTTCAGGAGGGAAAGATAAGAGGAGACCTAGCATCCATGACATTACTACTGTCAATCTCACGAACATCGACTTGTCCGACAACAATCTAAACAGCAACAACAACAACAACAACAATAAATTTCCATCTTCGTTCGCGGTTAACAACCCGTTGCAGAATTCTAATGATGGAGCGTTGATGGCTTTTGGATCGTCTTATAACAGCAGCTCCTACCCCTATGAGTTTGGTTCAGTAAACATATGGAACTGACAATTAATATTATTGCTAATGACAATTCCCAGATACACACCCATATCAGATATGGGGTTCAACAGTTCAAGAATGTCGGTCTTGGATTTTGGTTTTGTGATCTTAATGTGATGTAAATCTTAGTTTTACTTTCGCAATTAAGCCCTACTCTCTCTGTGCTGCTTTCAGACTTTACCAATGAAAGTCTATCAATTTGCCTGCTTTTTTTTTCTTTCTTTTTCTTAAATGCATACATGATTCCTTTCCTGCCTGGTTTACATATTTTACCACCATGATCTTAGTATGTATCTAATTATATATGAATTACACCAAAGGTGTTTGAGTGAGAAAACATCTTATATTTGAACTTATAAATCATTATCTAATTTCTTCTAAGATGATAATTTAAATTGAAAGCTCTAAATATATAATAATCTGGTTCATTTCAACAGCTAAAGCAGGCTGAGCTTCATTCAATGCTCGAATCTTTGGGTATTGAATAATGCAAACGATAAATTAAATTTAATCTTTCGGTTTATTGATTAATTATTCGTTCCTCCTTTTTACTTTTCTTTTTCCCCCAAGTCATGATCGAAGAATATTTGAAGAGCCACAACCCTTAAAATTACAAGCTTACAAGATTTTCCGCGTTACAGAGTGAACTAACTTTAGCCAGAGTTTTGCACTCCTATCTAATCGTATCTACCCTTTAAAGGCTAAGTGCAGGATTTTTCCTTTTATTAAAGGCAAAACGGAAAACCTTTTGATTAATATTTTATATTTGCATTAAATAATCTATTAAATATATGTAAATATATAGAACGCTTAGACCCCATAATTCATAAACTCATAATTATGAATGTCCTATTGCCTCGTGCTATTAATTAGTGGAAAGTTTGTGGGATCCATTTTCATTTTTGAGAATTTTTCGTACTAAAAGACATTAAGTAGGCAAGAAGACATGTCACACTAGAAGTTGTGGCTGATTTAGCTGACTCAATAAATGTTGTCAGTTTGCACTATTTGATTGAATTTCCAAAGTATGGAATTAGAAAAGAGTACGCAATTTGGCCAAGTTGACCCATGATTTTGCCAGTCTACTTTCTAGAGGTTGCTGCTGAGTCTGCATTCCACTTGTCTCGGTGTTATCCTCTTTCTCCCTAATTCACATGTATTACTATAAACAGCTGCCGCAGTATTTTTATTTTAAGAATGCTATGGAAGAAAAATATGTAATTTTACATATATGGAGGTTGCAATTTGAGTTGCTTGCCTTATTAAAATTGACTTGTACACTGTTCGTCCCAGTTTATGTGACAGATTTGATATAACAAATTTAAAGGAAGAGATAAAGATAAACTTTTAAAATTTATTTCTAAATATGCTACAGATATTTTGGTGGCTGCAATATCATTTTATTAAGGGTAAAATAAAAAGTTTAAAATTAAATTATTTTTAAATATAAAATAAATTATTTTCTTGGAATAGACTAAAGATTAAAGTGTGTCACATAGTAGGACATAGTGAATAACAATTTGTACTTCTATTTATTACTTCTTCAAATTTGTCATAGAAGGGTACCTCGATTTATTATTTGTATCTGTTATTACATTATTATATAAATAAAGATATCTTATAATTATTATAATTAAATTAAGAATTTGAATTATAATTACTAACTAATTAATAATAAGATAATATTATTTATTAATAGAATTTGAAGAATTTGAAATTCTTAGTATAGAGCTAAGTATTTATATATCTAAATCTGGTTGAGAAGGTATAATAAGTGCAAAGAATGCATAACTGTAGAACTAAATAAATGGATTTATTCATCTCATACATGAGAAAGATACGTATGATAATAAATCTCGATTTACTATTTGTATCCCGATCCGCGCATCTAGGACTTGAATGCGTATTTGGACGCGCACTTGGGGCTGCTAACTCCTCCAGGTGCACTCTTAGGTGCGCGGCTGCGCAGTCGGGCGTGTATATTGGATAATGCTGAGTAAAATGGTCATAACATTTTCTACAAAAGTCCAAATAATGAACGCTTTAAACCGTTAGAAACTAGACTATAAGATCTTTAATAAATTATATCCTATCCACGCCGTAACTCATTATACACAGAGAGATATGATAGTTTGAAGTTAGGTCATGTGCGACTTTGGGTATCTTTTTCTCCTAAACAATTCTATCTTGTTCCAAGCTAATTCTCCCCATTTCTAAACATCATTATAATACTTCAAACCATGTACAATATATGTCCACATATCCAAATAGATTTATCCATAGTCGTAGTTATTGTTAACTTACAAATGATACGTATAGTGCTTACTGACCTTCTAATTAGCCCTTTAACATTTTGAAAATCTTTCGGGGTGCTACACTCGTATTGAAATTGTGCTCATATTACTATATAAGTCAAGTAAAACATGAGGCAAAAAAATCACAAAGTCCAACAAGGCACAAAGAATCATATAATCTACCCCGAGCATAGATAACCCTAACACATGCATATACGCTCGTCACCTTGCATATACATCACCCCGCAAGTAGCACATAATATTATTTTATTAGAGAAAAAATTCTCACAACAAAGTTAGGCAAGACACTTATCTTTGTTCGGAACACAATCAATAATCCAACATGGCTTTTCCTTTAGAAAAATCCTCCATACCAAACGAATCTAACCAAATATCGTTCAAACAATTCAAAACAAGCTTTAGAAACTACTAGTGAATGAAAAAGGTTCAATCTTTAACTAAATTTTAAAAAAGTCAACAAAAGTCAACCTGGACCCATGTAATCGAAATTCAAGATTAAGACCAAATCCCGATTATCCATTCACCCCTGAGCCTGGATATGTAATTTATTTCAAAATTCGACCTCAATTCGAGGTCTAAATCTAAAGTTTATAAAATTTCTACTTTGAAATTCATAAATTTGATGATGAAGTTCATGAAAAAATAATTAAAATTGATTTAAAACAAGTTAAAGTTATTAACCAATGCATTTAGGAAGAAATTACTCTTCAAAATGAAGTCTATATGAAGTCTAGGGTACAAAAATGGTGTAAAATGAGCTAAGTCCCGAAATTTTTACATTTTACTTAGCTGCAGATGTTGCAATTGCGAACTCTTGTTTGCAATTGCGACGTTCGCAAATGGTGTAAAATGAGCTAAGTCCCAAAATTCCCACATTTTACTTAGCTGCAAATGTTGCAATTGCGAACTCTTGTTTGCAATTGCGACGTTCGCAAAAGCGAACTACTAGTCGTAATTGCGAACCAGTCTCTGAACCTCCAACATAGCAAAAGCGATAAACTCATTGCAACTTCGAATCTTGTGCAGTCCGCAAATGCGAAACTGCCCTAATTTTCTCACATTCGCAAATGCGATAGTATCCTCGCAAAAGTGAAGACCTCCACCTTCACAATTGCGATCAGAGTTTCGCAAAAGCGAAGCTAACCCAGCCCCCTCTAGTATCTCAAATGCGAGCTTGGCATCGCAATTGCGGTGCTTGCATTTGCGAACAGGTCCTCGCAAATGCGAGATCTGCAGATTGACACCAGCAGAAATTTCCAACTAAGCTAAAATCATCTGCAACGCATCCGAAACTCATTCCAGCCCCCCGGGCTCCAACCCAAATACTCACACAGGTGTAAAAACATCATACAAACTCGCTCGCTAACTCTAATCATCATAATAACATTAAATATCAAGAATTGATCATTAAAGCTCAAGGTTTTCAGCTTCAAAACTCATTTTTTCAAACTTTTCATATAATGCGCCGAAAAGGCCTTGGGTCATCCGAGACCCCAACCAAACATGCGTACAAGTCCAAAAACGTCATACGAACCTACCGAAATCTTCAAAATACTGATCCGAGTTCATTTACCAAAATTATTGACCGTGGTCAACTCTAGTCGTTTTTAAATCCAAAAAGCACATTTTCTTTAAATTTCCACATAAGAACTTTCCGGAGAGCGACACAGACCACACATGCAAATTATAAATCATCAAATAAAACTACGGGAGGTCTCGAAATACAAAACAGAGAACTAGTACTCAAAATGATCGGTCGGGTCGTTATATGAAGAGATTGAATACAATATATAGTTGAAACTTGAAACTCCTTTCTTCTCCTCCCTTTTCCCTATCTCTAAGATCAATACTAGTGCATCTCGGTCAAAGAAACTATAAAAACACAGTTACATTCCACAAGATTCGTCGAATTTGTTTCACCAATTCTAAATGAAAACATTTTTATATAAACGTCAATTATAAATAAAAGTGCAAAGTTTCTATATCACTTGAGTTACAAAGGAAGAAATTTGTTTGAAATTTACTTACCCAGGACAAACTTTGAAAGAGAGCTTTCTGTTTCTTGTTTTAGAACAAAGAGAGGCATTGATTTATATTAATTCCTTCATATCTTATTACAAACAAACAATAAATGAGTACAATCAGAAAATAAATTAAAACCCTTCCAAAATCGATTTATCTGCGTTCTAAAGTGGGTTTCAGAATTAAGCCGATGCTCCAATTTTGGGCCAGATATACACCGATACATTGATTTATATTATTATATATAGATGGTTCTTGTCCCTCCTCAGCAGCCACGGAGAAAATCAAAACATTTGCCTAGTTCAATTTAGAAAGAAAAAGTCCAAATTAAATCTTTTTGCGAACTAGATATTCCATTATTCCATTTGTTCAATTTTAGTTATTCATTTTTGACTTTGCACTTCCCTTAAAAAAGGAAAAAATATATATATTTTACAATTTTACCCATAATAATGATAGCATTTTCAAAAGTCTTGGAAAACAATTTGGGTAAATGAGTAGTTAATAATAAGAGTAAAACATGAAATAAAAATGTCTTATGATATTTGAAGTCTAAAATATTATCTTTAACCTGATAATTGATTGCTAGGAGGGAGACTGAAGAGAGGGAATTAAAACTGTTCTTGAATGCTGAAAAGAAAACAACAACGAGATCCATTTGGGTTAATCAATGGTTAACTTGTGTTACTTAGAAAAAAGAAAAGGAGAAAAAGGAAAAGGTAGTGTCTAGTTATTGTTGTATAGTAAAATGGAATGACATCATAATCACGAGGTCACGTACTTTCTTAGACAGTGAACTCTGTGCACTTAACAAATTAAGTGGTTATGCATGTTATTTAGTGATGGTTTTATTAATTGCCATAAAATAAATTTTAGAAAATGAATGAACCAAATTCATGCTTCGTAAAGGTATC